CCTCTCTGTGGCTGCCTCCACATCTTCTTGCTTTTTCTGTTAGTTGATGCCTCATAACTGTGATGCCTCTAAAATCGCGGGTCCCTACTGTGACTTTCCTTCATCTCCACAACTGTATACTGTGAACTCCCCAAACTGCTTGCTCACACTCTGGCTATGCCGTGCTTGAAAACAGTGGTTCTCTGTTATTTTCAAACTTGTATGGCTAAGTAACTCATATGCAAATGTTGCCAGTTCCTACTGTATATGGGCGGTCCCTGAACCCCATGGATCACAACTGCAGTTGCCTTTGCTTGCCTGAATGGTTGAATCCACAAGATCACTCTCCTAGGCAGTAGTTTTTTTGAGCAGATAACTGCTCCAGTGTCATAATCGCTTCATTTTCCCAGTCTCCTGCCACTGTAGCATCAGGTAGCATCAGGTGTTTTGGTTCTGGAATCACAGCCCAAATTTTGATAGCCTTTAAAATATTCTTCTTGAAAACAAGTGCAGACTTTCTGGTTGCTGGCTTTGTGGTTGCCATTCTCTCTCACTGGAAACAGAAATCACTCTGCATATCACACACAGACTCTGTACCTTTTTTCCTCCTTAATAAAGGTCTGTATACTGTTTGCTCTTAAGTCTACCTACAGATACTCAGGAGTTTTCATCTGTCTTCATGTCTATTACTCAACAACGTCTCCCTGCTTATTCCTTAAAGTTTCTGTGTGTGTGTGTGTGTGTGTGTGTGTGTGTGTGTGTGTGTGTGTGTTTGAGACAGGGTTTCTCTGTATTGCTTTGGAGACTAGCATGGAACTCAATCTGTAGACCAGGCTGGCCTCGAACTCACAGAGATCCGCCTGCCTCTACCTTTCAAGTGCTGGGATTAAAGACGTGTGCCACCAATTCTTGGCTCCCTGAAGATTCTAATACATATGTCAGTCATTTTCTACAGCCCTAATTGATTTTCTTTTATTTCTTTATTGCTGCCCTGAAGTTAGGCTTCTATATCTACAGTACTGCCTGGTGACAGCCATGCTGTGGGGACCAAAATGAACCCGCCCTGGGAGGAGCCTGGTGCCAAAGGGTTAATGTCAGTCTCTGTTTCTTTGCTACATCTTGTCCACTAGATTCTAATCTGAGACATTCTTAAACACTTTTAATTTTAATTAAATGAGCCTTTCATTTATAAAAATAACTCTTAAGGAAGATACATTTGAATATGCTTTGTCAAGTATAGTTTCTAAAACTATTTCCTGAACATTTTTGTGTGTACTTTTTTACATTGTATCAATGTTTCAAATTTCTTTTTTTACACAGTGCACTCTCAACTATTTGCCTTTTAATGATTGTATTTTTAACAGAATATTATAACATCTTCGATTAATTTAAATTTTTCATTGAGAATTGCTCAAAATCACCACTGAATTTATTTCTTCTGGACGTGATAAAAGTTGAGGTAGTCCTTAATTATTCTACAGTAGACAGAAGTTCACTGCAAGATATATGAACATCATGTTTATGTTTGCAGCTTCTTTTGCATAGAGCATAGATGTATACACATATGTTGATAACCAAGGTTATCAATTGATATTTAAAAATGTGTGGTCCTAGCTTGACTAGTCAGCAGCATTTACCAAGATGTTTAGAGACCCATATGTAATATGGGAAAAAAGAGCATTTGATATGTAATAGCATTCTGAAAACAAAAATGTTTTGGAGTATCTACTATATTTTCTGTACTTTTAACTTCCCTTTTTTAACCAGACTGAAAAATCTTTAATAAAATTAGTAATGAATGTCTAAAATAATGCATAGAATTTGTTATCTGTGTCATTAGCAAAGCTTGCCAAATAATGAAAGAATTTTTAATAAACTTAGGACAAAATGAGTGTATACACAAGAAATATAGTTGAATTAAAGTACTACATTAAGGAAACAAAAAAGTAAGGCTACACTGAAATTATTATAACAATGATTTTTATACTAATATATATATGCTCAAGTATAATAAACTTCATGTCAAAATAATTCATTGTTGCAGTAATGGATGTCTTTTATAATAGAAGTTTACAACATGTATAAAGCAAATTTGAATTTAATTCCCTTTTTCTATCTTAGTACTTTGCTTCACAATTTGAACACAGTTTTGTAATTACTTGGGTTTGGGTTTCTGATCTGTAAATTTCTTAGAGTCAGAGAAATGTAGCTGAGAAGTAGAATGCAGAAACTGTCCAACTGTTCTCTCGCTTGTTTCAATAATAAGCCTAAGTCAATATAGCCACTTAAGGATCAATGCTTAAAGACTTTTTCCTACTCATTTCCAACAAAATTATGTATTTTATTTTTCTAGGAAATGAAATCTATTTTGATATCAGTTATCATTATCATAAAATATTATAAAATGTTTTTCAAGTAAAAATTTTCCTAAAGATAGAGACGGATTTCAATATACTAATAAAGCTCCATAATATTATACACAAAATATGTATTATTACAAAGCTAAGTAGACTTCATCAGTTATTTTGTAAAATTTATTTTCTAAAGAGTAATCAGTACTTAGCAGTTTCTGCTGGTCCTTGGTTTATCATGAGCAGAGACACAATTGCAGTTTAGCTCCAGTTTAATCACAGGTGATGTGTGCAATCATTTATTTAAAGGGTAACATGGCAACAACAACAATAAATGCTAATTCTTGTTGAATCTTCATGTGAGGTTTCTTATTTATGTTTGCAGACTCACAGCCTTCTTCCCAAGTGCCTTTCTGGTGCTTTCTGCTAGTTGTTTGCTTAACTGTCCTCATTTAAATATGGAGGCATCCCAGGCTGAGAAAATTGAGATAGAAGCTAGTAATATGCAACACAACTGTGTTTGGAACAAGAGTTTTCTGACTTTCCATGCTGTAGATTGTGGGACAAGGCAGTAATTTATCATTAAAACAGGCATGTATGAGATTTCTCATTCAGCAGGCATAGCAACATGAATCTGCAGAATTTATTGCCATGTGCTTTGTTTAGCTGTGAGAGGAATTTAAATGAGGTATGAAGCCTCTCATCTCACGTGCATTCTTTCCTACTCACATTTTGAAAATTTGGTTTTTGGTAATGTACAGAAAGCAATCCATTGAGATTTTACACAGGACTTTAAAGGTAAAACTTCAGTTTATGCATAATGTGTGCATGTGTCTTTCATTTTCGGTTCCATAATAATTATGGACTAACCATTTAATTTTCTTTTTGGTAATAAACAGATTTCATAGTTAAAGAGCTCTACTATAATGTGATACAATTCTTAGAATATATTAATATTCTTAATTATAAGTGTATGGAGTAGTTACATTACCACCTTTTCCTCTAGGTAATACAATATTCTGTTTACTCTCTATGCCACACATTTTCCTAAGTATACCTTTATGGTTGTACAATTGTCATATTCATCTATAGATAAAGGATCATTTACTTGTTTGCATTACTAACTGACTCTCAATATCCACTTTTCTGCCCCCTCGTATTCCCAGACACCTCTTCATAGACACAGTCAGCAAGACACTCAGTACTACCCACAAACACATGCCAAGGACAATCGGTCCATCTTAGAACTGTATCATAGTAATATAACAACTAATAAAGAATTTGAAACACACGCACTCACACACATACACACATACACACACACCTGTATAATGATTTTAATCTTACCTGCCAAAAATATTACCTGCCCCTCAAAAAAATAGAAGCAACCACTTTTTTTGAAGTGATGATTTCAAAATTATTCTATTTTTTAATTTAACTTTTTACACGTTACTCTCACTTCCCCCACCCTCCCCTCCTCCAAACACCCCCCCAATCCTTCCAAACCCCCATCCCACTCTATCCCCCCTCTGCTCCCCAGGGATGGTAAGGGCTTCCATGAGGGACTTTTAGAATCTGTCACAACATCCTGGGCATGGCGTAGGCCCTCCCCAATGTGTCGAGGCTGAGAGAGCATCCCTCCATGTGGAATGGGCTCCCAGAGTCTATTTGTATGCCAGGAAGACATACTGATCTACTCTCCAAGGTCCCATAGATTGCTGAGGCCTCTTCTCTGACACCCAAGTTGGGGGAGGAGTGTCTGGATCAGTCCCATGCTGGCCTCTCATGGGCATCAGTCCGGGGTTCAAGCGTTCCCCCTTGTTTAGGTCAGCTGCCTCTGTAAGTTTCACCAGCCAGGTCTTGATTCCTTTGCTCATTACTCCTCTTTGCAACTGGGGTCCAGGAGTTCAGTTTGGTTTTTAGCTGTGGGTGTCTGCCTCTGCTTCCATCAACTACTGGAAGAGGCACATAAGGTAGTCATCAATCTCATTATGGGGGGGGGCATTTCAGGGAACCTTAATGCCAGTTGTCATTATTGTAGATCTTTGAAGATCTCACTAGTGCCAGATGTCTCCTCCAACTTATAATGGCTCCCTCTAGTATGGTATCTCTCATTCTTCTCTCCTCTATTCTTACGCTGGCTCAACCTTCCTGCTCCCCAGTGTCTTTCTCTTAACACATATTTGAAAATCTGTTGCCTCTGTCAAAGTCAAGTACTTGGAGTCATTCAGTTTAAGTTTCATTTAGAATGCACAAAAGCCATCATACTGAACACTTATATAATTCTTCACTAATAAAAATGATATAGCTTCTTTTTCACAATGTAAATAACTTTGACTTTCTGGTCATGTATGGTGGTTCATGATATGATAATATTATTTTTCCCTACAGTTAATCGAGGACAATATTGAATAGACATTACTCATCCTCTTTCTAAAGAAAGTTTGAAAAATAATTATCTCATTAATATGTCACTTATTAAAATATGGTTTTATATCCAGAAAATATGTCCCAATAGTCAAGATATTGCAGCCGGCTGGTCACTACTACATGTTTTCTTCATCTATATATGTCTCATTAGTTATTAAATGTCTAATTATAAATTACATGAAGATAGTTCTTCTTGTTTTTTGTGTAGGGGTTTCACAGAGTTTTGTTTTCTTTTTTAAGACACACTTTTCAATGGCCTTGGGCTCGGAGCCATCATTGGCCTAGGAGTTGCTGCCCTTTTGCTAATCCTCGTGGTCACAGATGTGAGCTGCTTCTTCGTTCGGCAATGTGGGTTACTGATGTGCATTACCAGGAGAGTGTGTGGGAAGAAGAGTGGCTCTAGTGGGAAGAGCAAAGAGCTTGAAGAAGGAAAGGCTGCATACCTGTGAGTATTAGACATCCACACCACCTCCCATGAGTGAAGCGCAAGCTCAACTTGTGTCCTCTGGGGCTGTCTTCTGAGCCACACCAGGCATTTAACTAGAATACAGTGCAGATGTTACCATCTGTGCTGGCCTTAAATCTGTTTAATATATGTGCATACAAACATACACACAGAATATTCCATCTGATGCATTCTCACAAATATGAATATATCCTTGACAAATTCTTTTCAAGGAGAAAGACTATGAAAGCATCTATACATAGTTAATTTATGCTAATGTCCCAACCCAAGGCAATTACTACTAATTATTTTTTCTTTTTGTAAGCCAGATATTTTACTTTCTGATTTAGAACTACATGTGGAGGGGTGCTTTTGTTTGTAGTGTTTTTTATCTGGCATCTTTCACTCATTATAATGTTTCATGAGTTGTTTGATTGAAGAGTGCTTTCCTTGGGACATGTTAATTTTGGGGTATTTCAATTAAATATTATGAAATTTTCTCTTTGACAGTATCATATATGTATATGATTACTCTCACCACACCTTTTATTGAAATTCACTGTCTTATTGGAATGACTCAGGAAATTATTTCCTTTTTATTACCTGATATCATCTGTTCTTTTTACTTATGGACCTGTGTAGCCATGAGAGTCATATATAAAATTTAATTGCATAATACTGTTTGCCTAATAGTGTGCCCTTTTATTCTCTTAAAATTTGTTGTTTAAAATTTAGTCCTTTTTCAATGTCATTTTAAAAATAATGTATTATTTATTTTACCATATATATGCATATATGTTAAACTGTATATCAGAATAATATGCATACTCTGCTAGTTAGTTTTTGGTCAACCTGACAAAAGATGGAGTCATCTTAGAGCCAGGAACCTCAATTGAGAAAATGCACAGAGCATTCTGTCCTGTAGGCATTTCTAGAGAGCATGTTAATTGGCAATAGATGGGGAAGGGAGCAAAACTATGAACAGAGTAAACCCAGGGGATATCCTGGGGTATATAAGGAAGCAAAGTAAACCAATCAGGAGGAGCAAGCTTGCAAGCAGAGTTCCTCCATGGTGTCAGCTTCAGTTATTGACTCCAGGGTACTTGCTGTGGCTGAATAATGGTTGCTTTTCAATGGATGATGGAATATGATCAGGACATGTATGCCACATACACCATTTCCATTCTGAGATGCATTATATCAGTGTTTTTGCAGAGCATAGAAAGCAAAGTAACACACATATGTACACACGCATCTATATTTCTACATTTGTTGTAGTGGTTGTCTATGACTGCTTTTACAATTATGGCAGTAAAGAGATGGAAATGCACGACATGGAGTCAATGAATGTTCACAGACTAAACACTCTTGTTAAAGTTTCTCTATAATATAATAACTTTATTATTTAAGTTGCCTTTGAATCCTTTATTTAATATAAAAATATGAGTTCTACCTTAATTTCTAAGGCTACATATTGAATTTCCCCATGTGTGTATCACACAATTGGATACATTCACAAAGAAATTTTTCCTTTTTACTACATCTAATATTTTTTGTAAAATTTGTGTAAATCACATATATAGATACATTATGCTATTAAATTTCTATTCAATAGTTCATTTTGGGAAAATTTCTATTATCATTAAATTTTAAATCAATATTTTAGTAGTATTGAATTTGTCTCTGTGAAATCATAATTCAAGATTTATGTTATATATTTAACTGTGGAATTGATATGATACAAAATATGCCTATCCATGGCCGGGCAGTGTTGGGGCATGTCTTTAATCCCAGCTCTGGGGAGGCATTGGCAGAAGGACCTCTGTGAATTTGAGACCAGCCTGGTCTACAAGAGCTAGTTCTAGGAGAGCCTCCAAAGCCACAAAGAAACCCTTTCTTGAAACCTCCCCTTCCCCCAAAATAATATGCCTAGCCAAATTTTGGAGACCCTAGAAAAATGCTTAAGTTATTATATCAGTTCAAAATACCCACAGCAAGAACATTTCTACATATTATTTCTGTTATTTTATAAATCATGCCTGTTATATATAATTTTCTATTTAGTCTCATAATGGTCTGGAATTGTTTGAATGTCAAATGTTGCCATTCAAGAACACACACATTTAAATATAAACTAGTACAATTTTATAATTTCCTAATTTTTGATTATACTTTGAAAGTCTTGATATATAACAATTCATTAAGTTTGCTTTCTATAATGCTCAAAAACTGCTATATTCCTGTTTTTACTTGAACTTACCATAAATTTCAGGTTGGATACAGATTCTTGTCAATAATTTCATGTGTTTACACAGCAGCACTGCTGACTAAAACTGACACATATTGCTTACAAATAGTAATGTATTTTCACCATGTATGGTAGGAGTGTGTCTTTTCTTGCATTCCCTATTGTGTTACTTTTTCATATTTTTTTAATCCAGTGCAGTAGTATTACAGTTACTAATCATTAGCATTGACACAATTTTTATTACTCGAATGAAGCTTTATTTATTTTGTTAGTCTTCAAGTTTGATTTACTACTCTTGTCTCTTTCACTTCAATTTAAGTCACTTTATAATTCTTCCACAAGCACACACAATATTCATACCCACCCCTCATACACATTAAACACACACACACACACACACACACACACACACACACCACAAAACACACCATACACAAATAACTTAATTGCTTAATACCAGTTTCAGTAATTCCAAATATATTATCTTCATGAAAATAACATGTAAAGGACAAAAATTTGTTTCAATTGAATGAATACTTATGTGGCATATTAATAGCAGTGCAATTAATTTAGTGTACAATTTCTTTTTCTTTCATGATAATTTTCATCCTAATAATTTTCTGTGGTTCACTGTCTGGTAAAATCAACCATATAGTTATTGTTAGTTTTGTTGTTTATTTTTATACATAGAGACCTGTGGTAAACATTATTGATGACATGTTCTTAAAGTTCTGTGGAAGCATACAATTTTTTCAGCATTGTGAAATTGAAGCACTATTTCTTGTGATTGTTTCCAGTGCTGTTAAAACATTACTTAAGTGTTTTAAAATATTTTCCGCTTAAATTTTTTTCCAAATTAGATATGAACATCTTCCTATTATAAACTTTGGTTAATAAAATAATTTGATTTTAAAACATAAGATTTAAAATGCACACTACCTTTTCAAAATAATATTACTTTGTTTTTTTTTCTTTTCCTTTTTGAGACATGGCCTTGTTCTGTAGTAAAAGCTGGCCTCAAATTCCCAGACTTCCTAAGTGGCTTCTGGCACTAGACCTACAGATTTTTGCTACCATGCCTAACACCAAACAACAACAGTAACAAAAATAAAATGATGATGAAATGGCAATATTAAGTTGAAGGAATAAATTTGTTCACGTTTGATCAATTGGGAAGTGCCTATCATGTGTCTGTGGTATGCACACATGAGCATTTGACACACTGAATAATTGAATATTTTACTGTATCTTTTTAGGAAAGATGGCTCAAAAGAACCAATAGTGGAAATGAGAACAGAGGATGAAAGAATCACCAATCATGAAGACGGGAGTCCAGTAAATGAGCCAAATGAAACCACACCACTAACAGAACCCGAGTATGTAGTTCATAATGCTTATATTTATGGATAAATAAAAGAAAGGTGATAATACATTTTAAAAATATGAAGAAAATAATAATGCTAAAAATGTCAAAGGAACATGTACATAATATAAAATATAAGGATTTACTTCCTAAATAACGTTAATCTCTATTAATTTCAAAATAATATTGGTATTGGTAACTCACATAATTTTTTGTATGTAATGGCATTCTATCCACCAATTGTTGACGGATTTTTATGAATATTAATTGAACTTATTCATTTATTTTACAACTTGACAGCTATTTATACTCCCTGACCTCCTCCCATCCCCCCTCCCTTCTGACCCACCTCCACTCTTCCTCTGTTTTTGTTCAGAAAGGGGAAGGCCTACAATGAGTATCTATCAATAAAGCATGACATACCAAGTTGCTAAAAGACTAAGCTCCTCTCATTGTAATAAGACTGAGCAAGGCAATGCAGTATGAGGAATAGATTAACAAAAGACTACCAACTTGTTAGCATAACTACTACTTCTTGTGCTTGAAGTCCCACAAGTTCACCAAGCTAGACAAATGTCACACTTAAGTCAGTCCCATGCGACAAATATTAAAGATGACAAACCAAGTAGTCTCATGGGTTAGTCTTTTAATAACTCAAAAATATTTATTTATTTATTTATTTATTTATTTCTTCTTGGCGGTGGTTTGAGACAGGGCATTTGTTTGTAGCTTTGCCTGTCCAAGAACTTGTTCTCTAGACCAGGTTTACTTCCAACTTATAGAAGCCTCTGACTCTCAACTGCAAGAATAAAAGGCATGCACCACCACCACCTGGTAATTTTAATTTAAACTTAAATTATTAAATTTAAATTATTCACAATGGACAATTCGGCTCACGTGTATTCACAAATATCTTTTTTTACATATTCTGTGTATTACATTACATTCTTACAAGGGTAAATGCAAGCTGTTTTATTACATACTAGTTTATTTTGTAACAAATTTTTAAGAACTTAAAAAGCTATCTCTAAGAACTTTCACAAGCAGAACATTACACAGACTAAGTAGGTTGGATTTCTAAATATATGTGTAGATACATATACATATATGCAGGTAACAATAATGGAATAAAGAGGCTATGACTCTAAAGGATAGCAGCAAAATTATATGGGAGGGCTGGTTGCAAGAATGCGGAAGGAGTAATGTTATAATCTCAAAGAATAAAAATAATTATTAAAATAATTTTATCCTTTACAATGTAATAATAATAGCAGATTTCATTTATAAAATGCTTACTGAAATGGTGAAAAACATGTTTTTTAAAATTATCCCTAGAAATTGAGGTTGTCATCTTTATTTCCAGAAAATTGCCTTTAAAAGAAGAAAATGGAAAAGAAGTCCTAAATGCAGAAACTATAGAAATTAAAGTGTCTAATGACATCATCCAGTCTAAAGAAGATGATGGCAAAGCATAACCGCAAGATTCAGCACCTTGGTCAGCACCACAAAGAGCAATTTGATTGCAGTGACACTATGACCAAAACTATTCCATTGACCTTAATTTCTTGGGAAACGTCTAGCTTGGAATAGCTTGTACACATATACATATGATCAACTTCTCCTGCCACAGTCCATTTCCTTCTGTTGTTATTGTTGTGGTTGTTTATTTTGTTAAGAATTTCGGTATAAATGCTTGATTGGCACCAATTTTTTGGTATCAGTTTGATTCTATGACTGAAGTACTGCAATTTATTATATGGCTAAAGTGCTTTACTTTTAAATTTATTTGTCTCATGTAACACCAACAGATGTATTTCAGCTCTCTAAAATATTAGGTTGTAATGGAAGGCAGAGCAAAATTATTGTGAGCTAAGTGTGTACAAAAGCCCTGCATGTTATGAGTCTAATCTTGGGCAAGCACTATTAAAATGCCTTTCAGATTAAAATGAAGGCACGTAATAAAGACTATACTTTTACCAGAGTTTCAGGAAACTAGGTTTGAAGGAGCCAGTCAGATATCTTTTTCAGATATGAGAAATTGAAAAAATGATGGAGATCTCTTTTCAACTAACGACCACAGTGCATTTTCAACATTGATCTTGGATATACTGATACCAGGGCTAAATTGTTACACATCTGAAAGAAGATTAGTTGTGTGTAAAACTATATTAGAAAACTCTCTAATCTCTTTTTATGTATACCATATTCACTCACAGTGGTTACACAAAAAGTAAATGTATGATGAGTAAAAATGGTATTGATTTTTGCCCTCAGCTTCAAATAAAGTAAATTAAATGGGAAAATATCAATATGCTGTCTTGATATATTTATAAATATATGATTATTTTTATTTATACAATAATTTATCAAAATAAAGTTGTTTTCAAGTATTTCGAGTCATATTAGATATGGTTTGGTGTATAGATTTAGGTGATCACTATTATTATGTATCTCTCATTGAGTCATCGTGACTAATGCACAGTAAAGGTTAAAGCAATTATTTAACATTCAATTGTTACAGAAGAGAAATGAGCAACTGAAATGCTACTATTAGTTTAGTTTTAGACAGTGAATTTTAAAATTTATTTTAAACCCATTTAAAGATATTTAAACAAACAGCTATTGTGAAGAAATTATTTACCTATTCAACATAGACTTTCTATTATCACTTCTTAGGGACTGTTCAAGAATATGATCGTTACTAACTTACAAGCTATGCAAACTCCCTGAGGTCAAAGTCTAAATTATGATTTAACTTATGTGAATGGAAAAACATGTTTGTAACTATCAATATACATGTGAGGAGCAGGGTTCTTAAGTCAGAGTTCCTAAGGTTGCTATAGTCTCCCACTTCTCACAACCTTGGGGTTTTGGTACCAAGTCATTAGCTCCAATATTGATGCACTGGAGAGAATGTACTCTAACAGTTCATTGGAGGAATATTTTTAGCAGTGAAGATGGACAACTTACCCCATCTCTCCTTAGAGGTAGTTTCATGAAAATTAAATAAAATATTATTGCCACTCTGGAATACTTTTATGTATAAAGTGCTTAAACTTGTCATCCAAGCAGAGACAATTGATTTATTGTATCTTGTACCTCATCTGTTGACTGTCAGCTAGACTGAATGTGCCCAAATGCATGTAAAGATGCTGTAATCTCCACAGTGCTTTGCTGGAAATTCAGGGTTAATGCAGGGATTGTTCCTTCCTGACAATCCTGGCATAGTCTGGAGAGAAAGAGGGATAAAACCAAAAAAGAGAGAGAAACCTGTGCCTATTGGTGAATCTAAGCAGCATCTAAAATAAGCAAACAAACCAGTTTAACCCTTTGACAAAAATGATTATCAAACATGTACTTGATAGATTTGCTTGGGATGTTTAGATTATGTTTGTGTGGTCATTTAGGTTCCATTTTCTAAGCTGTACTTCATTTTGCTTGTTTTATTTTGTACCAAATGTGCTAAAACTAGTCAAGATACTTGAATTTGTTTGTTTTGTGTAAAGTCAAGAGGCATATTAGTGGTGTCTATGAAGCAATAGCCATGAACACTGATTTTTTTCTTTTAGAGCCACATGGTTTTAAACTAATGATATTAAAATAATTTGTATGACTTATAGAGCAGTTTCGCATGTTTAGAATTATCATGTTTGTGCTACACAACAAGAACAGAGAATTCAGGAGAGCAAAGTATTTTTGTGTTTTATCAAGTTGAAGTATCAGTTTTATCATGTCTTCTGATTTTCTATGAAAAGAAGCTGAATTAAGTTTATATACATTGAGTTAAACTTCTTGTTCATCCTATGGAGCCAATGGGTGATTTGGGATAGAGTCTGTGCATGGTTTCAGTTGTTGGAGAGATGCTGAACCAGTTCTGTCAATGATATAAATGCTCTGCAGACAATATCTTGATGTGGTAAACATTTCAAAATTTCAAAGAAATTCCCCTGATCACACAATTGATAACACTTCCAAATCTATGAGAATGTGATATAGTAAATTCTTAATTTATGAATAAGCCTGAATCTTATTTTTAATGCTATTTTAGTCTAAATGAGTCTATGTAATTTTAGTATCTGAAAGTCCACTGCCATGTTAGAATAAAATGTCCACTAGGCAAAATTTAGCTATTGTTAAGATAATCTGTACTTTAAACCAATTTAAACAAGCAAATGTAAGGCTGAAAGCAAATAAATGACAATCTGTATTTGAAACCCCATAAGAGGAAATTTTAATATTTGAATTTTAATACATATTTTATTTTTAAAACTGACAGAAATATGTAAAAGAAATTTACAATGATTTTTGAATGCATTAAAATTGTGATTTCAACAGGTTAATTTATTATTTTGTGGGTAAGATATATTACTGTTCTATTTATACTAATGTCTAACATTAACAGACTTTAAATCTTTTATTTGTTAATATTAATACCAACAACATTATTTTAAAAAGATTTTGGATCCTACAAATGTCATATTAATTTCAATCTTTGTGTTAAACGAATAAAATATATAACAGTAATCAAATGAATTATAAGTTCCAGCAGTTAATTGTATATTAAAGTCATCTCTTTATTTTGAGTAATTCACAGGTATTTGTGCCTTTACATTAGCATGAAATTCTATTAAAGAAAAATTACAACTACTATCACTATTTATATGTTTTGATCATACATGTGATATTAATGCTGAACTTTTTAAAGTCAATGAATAAACTTTATTCCAACCTCTTTCACTTAGCCACAGAATCTTAAAAACTATATATAGATACACTTGAATTTATTTTCACTTATAATAAAACAGTACTTTAGTCCATCCATAGATACTTCTGTTGTTTCTGTATTGTTTCTCTAGATGGTAACTCTTTATTGGGAAAACTGTGCCATTAGATCTAAGAAACAGAAGAGATGCTTTTTAGAGTAAGTGTAATTACTATGAGGTCACTTGGGTCTTCATTGTTGCTGTTGAGATCATAAATCACCCATGTGGTGACAAGATAAGCAAAGATCAAAATACCTATCATTGAAATGATAAGAGAAGTTTAATTACTAATTAAAAATATTGGTGAAGCATATAATAGTTACTTAAAATTGCATTATTTTTCATGGAGTATGATATAAACGCTTAGTTTGATTTCCATATGGAGTTCTGTTTTGGAGGCATTTTTTCAACAAACATTGTATAAGCTAAAAATCATTTTAAGATGAGAATTTTCTTATTTATCTCCAATTTCTATTTAAAATATTCTGCCTAAAACTGAAATAGCATATAGATATGTTTACATATGCTAAACTTCAAAAATTGTTGTGGGTTAAAAATTCAAATGTAATCACAGAAGTCAAATTATTCAAGACAATATTATATATGTTGTCTTAATACTATTCTAATATGAAACAATTTTTGTATAAATCAAAATGTTATAAAAGGTCTAGCAATATTAAGTGGTGAGTACATGTAATTTTCTTCCAGGCGCCACACTTTTTATTTTAAATTGTTTTCTCCCACGTAGATGCAACTATTTAAAAACACTATACAAGATTACTAAAATAATAACTGTTTCTCATTATATAGTAGTCTCTGCCTTATATATAATGATAAATATTTATTTGGTAACATGTTTAATATTCTTAAAAACAGTTCATTATTACTACATGCTTTTATAATAATTTAAATCAATTAGTTAACCTAATGTCTTTAGTTTTTATTATTTTAAAACAATTTTAAATGTTTTAATGACCAGACATTTTTCATGGTGATTATTACCCTTTTCTTATTTACAAACTCATATCATTTGGTGCCTGATTTTTAGCTTCACATGGAAGATAATAAGTAAAGCAAAGATGTCTGCAGTATTTCTATCACTACCAAACAGAAGAGTTAAAGAAAATGAGATGAAAATATTAGTGATATGGAATAGACACAGAAATGCCCAATCAAGGAATAAAATAATTTTAGGTGACTATTTGTGCCAATAATAGCAAAGCAAAGGCAATACCCTAACGGCATCTGGAAAACAATGTAAACAGAGATAGATATTGCAATTCAATTTGCAACTAGGATGTTTAACAACATGCTACAGAAAAAATAATATCACTAAAAACAAAATAATACTTTGCATTTTCAAACAGTATTGTTGGTTTCGAATTTGTCTCTAACCCCTTTGAGAAGTAAATCACCTTAATAGTAATTGATTAAGAAAACACATTTGGAGGTATATGAATGTTATTCTCTATTTGATAATATTAAAACATGCCATAATTTATTTTTTAACTTATACATTCCACCCAATATCTGTATAGTTAACTATCATGTTTTATTATTATTTCAATATAGTATGTCCCTATGAAATGCTGTATATATATATATGTCTAAACTGTAAAAAGTATACTGCAAATGTTGAAGTTTTGTATTTATGAGAGACATTGAAAGTATGGCTTATGGTATTTCAAAATTGTCACTCTTCACCATTTGTATATTAATAGTAAAGATACTTTTACTTTAATAAAGTGTCAAATTTTTATGTTTTGTTTCTAACCATATCTCAGTAGTATGAGAGCTTTTATGTAATAAAATTATTCATTTCCAGGACTTACCAACATGCTACTGTACAGCCTAAGAAAAATCCTTTCTAGTATCTAGTATCATTTGAATCCCAGTATTATGGCCTGCAAACAGTGTCCTATCAGAAAAGAATAGATGTAAATATTTGACTTACTCCACATCCTCTCCAGCATAAATTGTCTTCGGTGTTTTTGATTTTAGCCATTCTGACAGGAGTAAGGTGAACACTCCTCCACTGCTGGTGGGAGTGCCGACTCATACAGCCTCTTTGGAAATCAGTAAGGAGATTCTTCAGGAAAATGGGAATTAATATACCACTAGACCCAGCAATTCCACTCTTAGGCATATATCCAAATGAGGCAAGTTCATACAACAAGGGCATCTGCTCCACTATGTTCATAGCAGCATTATTTGTAATAGCCAGAACCTGGAAGCAACCTAGATGCCCCTCAACTGAAGAGTGGATAGAGAAAATGTGGTACATTTACACAATGGAGTATTACTCAGCAGAAAAAAACAATGGAATCTTGAAATTTGCAGGGAAATGGATAGCACTGGAAGAAACCATCCTGAGTGAGGTAACCCAGTCGCAAAAAGACAAACATGGTATGTACTCACTCATATATGGATTTTAGACATGGATCAGGATAGTGCCAGTCTGCACTTCCCCGGTAGAGAGTCTGGGAAACAGGAAAGTACCTAAAAGATATGCATATATGCATAGTACCCAAGAGAAGAGGATGGAGACAAGATCCCCTGAATGGATGGGGAACACGGTGAGGGGTGGGGGGGGAGTGGGACCTGGGAAGAAGAGAGGGGGTGAAGAGGAAGAGAGTTGGTCATGGGGGAAAAGGAAGTTGAGGGGGTGGGGGTAGAATAGGGGGAAGAGGGAATCGTAGGATCGAATACAGATCAGGCACCAGAGCGACCTCGAGTGATCTAAAGGGATAACACCAATTGGCAAGCTAAGCAATAGTGGAGAGACCACCTCGAATGCCCATTCCTGATAATGAACTTGATGTCTAAAACCATCCGGGAGCCTTCATCCTGTGACTGATGGAAGCAGAGGCAAACACACAATTAATCACTGAACTGAACCCAAGGAACCCAGTGACAGAGAGAGAGGAGTGATGAGCAAATTGGCAAAGAATGGGCTGGCAAAACCAGCAGAGACAACTGATCTGAACAGGGGAGAGCTCTTGGACCCCAGACTGACAGTGGGGAGGCCAGCATGGGACTGATCTGGATCCCCCAAATGTGAGTGTCAGCGAGAAGGCCTGGGCAACCTATGGGGCCCTGAGCTGTGGATCAGTGTCTATCCCTGATATACAACAGTCTTCGTGTGCCTATAGCACAAAGAGGGATGCTCTCTCAGCCTGGACTCTTAGGGGAGTGCCTGGACCCTACCCAGAGTAAAATGACAGACTCTGATATTCCCTATGTGGAAGGATTTGCTTATAGGGTGGGAAGGTGGGGGGGGAGGGGAGTGCCAGAGGAGGGGAGGGAGAGGGAACTGGGATTGACATGTAAAACAAGCTATTGAAAATAAAAAAATGATAAAATAAGAAAAAACCTAAAAAAAATAAAATAAAAAAATAGTTGACTTAAAGACATGCTACCCCAACTTCATTAGTATCCCCAAGGAAACCACGAGAAATAAACTTATGTGTATCTGAACATAGACCAGTACATCTCTACTCTTTGATAGGATCCCAGACATTGTATCTTACTGATACTTTCTTGTTATGGTTGTGCAGAGGGTTGTTTGGGTCTACCCGTTTTCAAATTACATCCTATGATATTTAGGAAATTTTGTTTTCGCATAGGGTATGATATGTTGCCAAAAAAGGTGAAATGTGAAAATAAGTAATAGTTTATTAAGGAATTATTAAGCTTTCATGAATTTTGGAAACAGTACCTACACAAGCAACCAAAATGATCAGTTTAAAATAAAAAAGCAAAAGTAAAGATAGTGTAGATATTTAAATAAATAAAACCAACATCCACTTCGACTTCATGTTGAAATTTGATTTCCCATTATTAACTTTAAAAGAAGGGTATTATAAAAATTGCCCATATAAATTTATATATCACAATTTTATTTTAGTTTTTTGATATAAAACTCATTTATTTCAGTGCCTAATGGCCTTGCATAACAAGAGAAATCCCTGTCACAAAAAAAGTCTCATCAGCCTGACTGCAAAACATGAGCTTGACAAGCTCGACACCATTAGACATGGGAAAGTGGAAGTGGAAAATTCAGTGAGGTATAACTCATAAGCAAAGAACTACAGGCAACTGAGGACTTGGAAGGGTGGTAGAAAAAGGGTCCCTTAGTGAAGAAATCACAGATTTGGTTATCCTATACCAAAAGTTCAGTCCAAAACACTTACTTACTTAGAGGTAACATTATACAGACTGGGCAGGCTGCATTTAGGAATATATATCTATATACCTATAAGCATGCAGTAACAATAAATGAGACAGGCCATGAATTTGAAAAGAAGCAAGAAGGTAGGGGTATATGAGGTTCTAGAGTAAGGGAAGGAAAGGAAGAAATGCAATTACCACGTTATGTTTTTAAAAAGCAAACAAAATTTGTGTTTTATATCTTTTTCCATTTCTTCAGTGAGTTCTTTGTTTTGTTTTGTTTTTGTAGATAGACATTTCTACAAATTATTTACAATTTGTTGTTGTTTATAATACTGATATTTATAAGTAACTATAAAATCATTCTTTGAAATATAACAAAATAAAAATAAACTAACAAAAATCCCCAATAACATTGTCACATTTATATAAGCGGGCTTTTTAAAACACAAGTATTTTCCAAGACATCCTCTATTGTGGTTTAATTTTCCAAAGCAGCCTTTAGCATCTAGAAGTGGCATTCTGTTTTTGTATTTATGTTTTGAAAACTGTGTTAGCATATTGCCAAACACATCAGCATTTCAACTACTCTATTTTTTGGTATAGTAAATTATAAAGGCAAATTCTGAGTTTTGTCCCATTTGAAGAAAAGTAGAAAGGCTTGTGTTTCAGATCATCCCCATACCTGGGCCACACCATCAACCTCCACATTGTCCACTTCCGTTTTTTCCCCATCATTTGTTAGTCTGAAGTTGACCTAGAAAGATCAATACATAGAATATAAGAGGAGAATAGACAAAATCAAGGCAAGCAACATTTGTGCACAGACTCACCTTTTAGTTGAAGCAATTCAATTACAGATTTTATGGGAGACTTATTTTAAAGAGAATTTGTCTTTAGTTAAGGAAATTGTGTTCTTTGTATTTGGAAGCATGACTAGAGAAAACAGAACACACATTTAATATACAATCAAACTTCAAATGGAACCCAAAGGTAGGGGAAATGAGACACATATGAAAAATTAGATGTGATCATGGAGTTTCATTTCTATATTTGACTATGTGAATATATTACAGAAATGTTTACAAGAAACATGCTCAGAAAATGTATATTAATATTTTACCAAACCAAAAAAAAAACCTAAGGAAGTGAAATGTAGTAGCCATTTAGAAACAGTATTTTCTCAGAAAACAATTGTAAAATAATTTTTACAACATAATTATATATGTATATACATTGACTATGATTTAATATATGAAATCAAATGAAATATTGATGCATTTGACAGTGTTCTAATATGCATATAAAGTGGAAAGTTTATTAATGGGGCTTATGGGCTGTGGTCTGGGTAGTACAGTAACACCTGTCTTCTAACAGGATGGTCAAGAATCTGGTAGTTGTCAGTCCCCCAAAAGGCAGGATGTCTCAACTAGTCTTCAGTTTACCTAGGAATCCCAAAGAAACAGGCTGTAATATCAACTAACTAGTGCCTCAGCAGGACAGATAACCTAGCCACTTCTTTCTTTCATGTCTTTTCTTGCAGCTGTGGAGCTCAGATTCATAGTGGTTCTTCCAATATCAAGTGATCCAGAATTAGAATTAGTCTTTCTCCTGCAAATAATCCACTCCTGAAAAATTCCTCATAAATCTGCCCAGCCAACTAACTCAATTCCAGTTGTATTCAAATTGACGAACATGATCAACCATCACAAGTATGCAAATGTGATTATGAGAACTTTGAAATCTTATTAAAAGTAAGAAAAAACCTAGATCTAGAATCAGAAAAAAATATTATACTCAGCAACCTGATGCTCTGTATATTACTTATTGCTAATTCTGGACTTCAGCCCCCCCCCCCCTTTTTTTTTGGATTTTTCATGACAGGGTTTCTTTGTATTGTTTGGGAGACTGTCCTGGAACTCGCTCTGTAGACCAAGCTGGCCTTAAACTAACAGAGATCCACCTACCTCTGCCTCCCGAGTGCTGGGATTAAAGGCATGCGACACCAATGCCTGGCTTGGATTTCAGCCCTTTAATATAGATATTTATTCTGTGCCCCAGGCAAGAAATATTGGTTCTAAAGTGAATATTGTTCACCTTGAAGAGCTCACATGTGTTTGCTGATCAAGGCTTATTAAGGTCATCATTTGGCATTTACAACACAGCAAAATTGTAGGTATGAGTCTCCTAACTTCTGCCTTTGGACACTAATTCTGATATGAAATTATGTTAGGCAGTTATCTAATGCAGCTAAATTACACATCAATCTCAAATGGAATGATTTTTAAAATACTAGCTTCATGAGTCTGTGTCAATGTAAGTAAATTGGTATTCATTTTTCACAACATTTTCGCTACTTGCTTCCAAAAATGAGCTTAAAAAGAGAGATGCAAAGTATAAATTCATCAGTTCCTGTCTCCATAAGTCTTACAATATACAGTCTGATTACACAAGGCATTCACATGAGTAGACATATGGTTGTCGTAGACTACTTCTTGACTGTGCAATGAGTATTTATCTTCCCTGTGCCTCTCTCCTCAGAAGGCATTGTATTTGCAAGTAAGGAAAACA